TCAGGGGTCTCAGTGGCACCTTCAGGACCATGACATGTTGGTTGGGTGGGGTGTCTTCCTTCTTTCCCTTTGCCTTGGAGGTGGAGGATTGTGCTGTCTCATCCTGCTCCAACTCTCCTGATAGTGTGGAACTCATTTTTGCTGGAGGCTCTGGAAGGGCCAACAATGGATCAAGTCCTTGTACAGCTCATGGACACATCACCTGGTGGATTCCAACTTCTCCTGCCCTTGGGAGGAGCTGGGAGCTGTCCAGGCACCTTGCAAATGGGCATCCTACAACTTGGATTTGTTTTCCTACCATGACAGCAGCAAGACAGCTCTTAAGGCAAAAGCTCAGTGGGAATCAGACAGCAGCTGCCAATCTTGTGTCTCCTTGTGGTTGGAGACCTCTGAACCTCCCAGCATCCCTCCATTTCCTGGCCCAGGTGGTTTTTTCCCTGGAAGCCCCACCTGTGCTGGAAGAGCTCCTCCCTGGGCATCACCGAGCACTAGAGAGGCAGGTGGTGGGTACAGCAAGGGTGACACTGATCTGAAGTCATTGTCCTCCTGTCCTTGGAAGAGCAGACCTGGAAGCAGCAATGCCAGGAGAGGTCTCTGCCCAGAAGAGCATCCTGGTGATGTCATCGGATTCCAATGTGTCTCACGGAGCCTGTGGCTGTCTTCCGTGTGTTCCATGTGCAGGGTGTGGGGCAAGGTGTCCCCAAACACCCACCTGAGGCCACCGTGCTGGTGTCCCTTGTTCAGGGCTGTCTCTGGACACCTTGGTCCTTCTCCTGCTTTCATCCAGGCTGGTGGCATCGGCATCTCTCCCAGGAGAGGAGCTTCTTGAGCCACCACCACTGGGAGTGACCCTGGTGGATGCAGCAAGGTTTTGGGGTCTCTGTCACTGGAAAACAATTTCATTTTTGTGGAAAAAATGGTTGGTTTTATGGTCCAAGAGATGGGAATTCTGAAACTTGAGTCATTTTGGGAATTAGTTCTTGTCTGGAGGGAGCAGGAGATAAGAAGAGCAGCATCACCTTCAGGAGATGCTCACACAGCCTGGACAAGGAGCTTCATTCATCCCTGGAGCAACTCCTGTGTTTAGCCAGCCAGGAGAGGAGCACTTGCTTTCCAAACTCATGGATTCAGCAGTGGATGCAGCCAAGTATGATGGATTAACTGGTGGGAAGACATTTTTCATGTCCCCTCTCACTCCCTGCTCACAGGAAGCATTCAGGTCTGAGTGGGAAGACTGGGTTGTGCTGAGCACCCCAGGGCTTTACATCACAGGGTTTTGCTGCCCTTGTAGCCAGGCAGCCCAAGCTGGCATTGCTTTCCTGCCTTCCTTTCCCTCCTGCTGCTGGTGGGCACAAAGCTGAGCGTGTTCCCTGCTCCTGCCACTGCTGTCAGGCCATGAGCACCTGGTGTGGGGAACTGCAGCCACCCCAGCTGTCCCCAGCAGCTCCCACCAGTCTCCAGCAGGTGTTAACTCCCTTGGTGTTATCCAGCTGGCTTTGCTCCCGGATTTTCCCAGAGAAAACCCTTCCCTGAGCCCCAGCAAGGCTGGGATTTGCCATTAGCTGCTGATGGTGCGTGATGTTTACAGAGAGACCTGTGACTTCAGAAGAGCTCACTTGCACCCCATGTCCTGCACACCTCCAGGGTGGGAGGCAAGCTTTGCTGCACTGGGATTTGCATTTTAATTAAGCTCCTGGATTTGGTTTCCAGGCTTCTTGTAGTGAGCTCTCCCTGCTGACTCCCTTCCCCAGAGCCCCTGTGTGTGCCGGGCTGGCGAGCAGTTTTCCGGAGGTATGCTCCATCCCAGCTCGCCATTTATAGAAAGGAATTAAGGAGAAATGAGGGAGCATTACTAAGAGGATTTGCACTGCGACTTACTCAGTTTCTCCAAATAATTTGCAGTAGCTCTGGATTCTTTAATCAACACTCATTTCCTTTTGGAAATGAAAGAAGTGGGAAGGCGTCGTGCTGCTCTCGAGCCAAGCTCGGCTCTTCGCCTCCGAACAGGAGGGTTTGGAATCAGAGGCTGAGAGAGTAATCTGGGGAGACCTGGTGGGGAGTGAGGGGGTGTGTGACAGATGGAGGAGTGTCTCAGGCATCAGAAAGCTTCCATCACCCTGTCCTGCTCCCTCCATGCAGTTTTGGGCTCTCCTGTCCCTGTCCGGAGCCTGTGGACACACACCCAGAGAGGTGACATGAGACACAGGGGGTCACCCCATGCAGAGCTGTTCATGGCTCTTCCCTGCTTGGCATCTCCTTGTGAGAGAGGCTGGGCTGAGTCAGGGCTTGGGGGCTCCTGTGGGGTTAGTCCAGCTCACCCCTAGGGTTGGCAGTGCTTACTGCCATGGATTCAGTGCTGAATTCCCATGGGACAGGGCTATGGGGGCTTATCAAGCCAGAGGCAGGAGACCTTACATGGGTTTCTGGAGACCCCCTGGGTGCTGTGGAGGGAGGAAAAGATATTTGGGCAGGTCCTACTGCTCTGGGACATAGTCACAGAGTCCCAAATGTCCTGAGCCTTTCCAAGCTCATTCCAGTGGGGTTTCCCTGCCCTGAGCAAGTGGCTCTTAGAAGGCTCACAGTGCTTGCAGCATTCCCAACTCTTGTAGCACCCGTGGAGCCACTCACCAGCCTGGCAGAGCCCTGTGCTCCACTGAGCTCTGCCCCACACCCTGTCCCCATGGCCCTGTGGCAGTGTCCCCTCTCACAGCTCTCCTTGTGCAACAGCCTCCACAGCCTCTCCGCTCGCTTCCCACCCAGCCCTGTTGCACAAGAGGAAACCCTGAGGTTTCCTGTCCCTGCAGCAGAGAAGGGTGTGGGGCTGCCCCACATCCCCTGTGTCCACTGCCCTGTGCCCAGCACTGGGAGAGTCACCCTCCCTTCAGGCACCCATGGGGACAGGGATGGGCTGATACCCCTCCATTGGCATGAGAGCGGAGCCAGCATCACTGCCCAGGATGTGGCCTGGTGGGTCCAGACACCCTCCTAGGTTGGAAGCTCATAATTAAAATTCAGAATTAAAAGCTCATAGGTTAGAAGCTCATAAATTCAAAGTCCATCAGCTGCAGGTGCAGGATGGTGTTGGAAAGCAGTGCCTGTGAGTTGGGATGAAAGACCTTCCATGGGAGAAGGGTCTGGGTGGTCCCAAATTTCCCTCCTTCCTGACCCAATTTTGCAGCCAAATCACTGTCCCTGACCCCTCTTGTCCTTGGAGGTGACACTTCCAGCCTTCGTCCCTCACTGCTGCTCAGTGCTCCTCTGATTTGCTCACAGGCACTGCTGGAGCTGCTGGAGTGGCACTTTGGGCATCTCCCAAATGTCTCCTGGGATAGGACCCTTTCCATGCCCTGCCTTGCCCTCAGGGGATGCAACAGGGAGGTGTGGTGCCCACAGCCCCCACAAGGACAGGAGTGTGGGATCCAGCTTTTCCTCAGGAAACCTTTCTGCCATCCACATGGACATCTTGTGTGCTTCAAATGGAGCTGGGGAGCTTAGGGTTGGAGGGTCCCAGAGATCATCACCCAGATCCAGGGGCTGTCAGCCCCCTATCACCCTCCCACCATGTCTCCCCACTCTGGGGCATCACTGGGGGCCTCTTTGGTTGGAAAAGTGTCCTTGCTTTACTGGGAAAAGGCAGCAGGAAAGAACAGTTAAACTGGAAGCTCCTTTTCCAGCTTTCCTGGGGATGCAGCAGCCCTCAGCACTGCTTCCCTCTGGAAACCAGCTCCTCACCATGCCAGCTGTCCTGCCTGTGCCTTTGTGGCTGTGCACTGGGGTTCTGGATGAGGACAAGCTGCACCTGGAGCTGGATCCATGGGCATGTGTGACAGATGGCTGTTGGGATGTAGGCATCCCACTCCAGGCTGTTGGGATATGGGCATCCCAGGCTGTTAGGACTGTTGAGATGTGGGCATCCTGCTCCAGGCTCTTGGCACATGGACATCTCTCTCCAGGCTGTGGCCACTGCCAAAACCTTCTTAAGGGTTTTGTTGGGATATTTTTATGCCGAATTAATTGTATGGTTTTCCTGAGTGACACAGAGCTGCGGCCACTGGGATGGGCAGAGCTGCAGAGGTGACTCCCCACCCTTGTCCTCATGTGCTGGGAACATGTTGCTTCCATCCAGCCCCTCAGGAAGGGATGGCTGATGGGATTGGGTCTCTCCACTGCCAGTGTTCCTTTCAGCTCTCCATAAAACCAAGCTGAGATCCAAGTCCTGCTTAGTGTTCCCAGAGTAGGATGCTTGTGCCTTGCAGTCAGGGATCCATCCTGACATCCCAAAATGAGCTGCCAGCATCTTGCTGTTCACCTCCATGGTCACCTCCATGAAGCAGGGACACAGGGAGGCTTGCAGTGGGGAGGGTGCCAGGATTAATCCCACTGCTTTAATTGGTTTTCATCAGTAATGAGCTACTTTTGGCAGTGCTGAGCCAGACAGTTCCTTCCCTCGACAGCAGGATCCTCATGGAGCAGGTGCCAGGGAAGTACTCAGTGATGCTGGAGCCTGGGGAGAGGGTGACCCTGAGCCAGTGTCACTGTGTCCCCACGTAGGATCAGCCCTGAGGGGCAGAAATGGGGTAGGTGTAGAAATCATGCCTGGAAAATGCTTCCAGTGGCTGCCACTGCTTCCAGAGCATAAATTGAGTCTGGCTCTGCCTGGACTCCTCAGCATGGGCTCCCTGAGGTCCCCAACATGGCAAATCCTGCCTGTGAGTCCAAATCCTGTCCCTCTAATCCCTGGAGCAGCCAGAACCTTGTCAGACATCCCCAGTGGTGGTCTCAGCCCCCCCGGAAAATGGAGTAGGAGCTGCCAGCTGCTGCCTGTGATCCAAGGGCATGGGAGGGATTCGCCTTCCCTGTGCCTGTCGCACTGCTCCAAAGGCAGCAGAGGGTTCTTTGTGGGCACTGCTTTAATTGCATCATTATTATCCTGAATAAATGAGTCCTGGCAGCAGCTGAACCTGGCGGATGCCAGCCACATCCCAGAAAGGCATCCGGGAATGGGCAGCATCCAGCTGGCACGAGCAGAGCTGGGGACCTGGATGGGACCCAGCCAGTGGCAGGTGCTGGCAGAGCTAGGGGGGTCTCAGTGGGTGAGGGACGACCAGGGGGGAGCCTGAACCCTTCCCATCTCACCCTCCTCCACCGCTTCTCTCTTGCAGACCGTCAGCATCAATAAGGCCATTAATGCGCAGGAAGTGGCTGTCAAGGAGAAACACGCCAGGAATATCCTTCCTGAAGCTGGCCCTGGGACAAGGAGTGTGGGAGCAGGACTGGGGCTGCCCACAAAAGGGGCAGCAGTAAGGTGGTGTGTGGGGAGAGCTGCTGAGGGGAGCTGGGTGGCTGTCAATGATGTTTGGGGGGTTTCCAGCATGGCACAGGGTCCCTGCTCCTGCTACCACAGCCTCCAGGTGTCAGTGGGTGTCCACGTTTATGCTCCTGACTCTGCCATCCCATGGGAGGGTGGGAGAGGACAGTGCCTGCAGCAAGTTGGGGTGAGGATGCTTGAGCACACTGCCACCAAAACCACATCCCCAGCAGGGCAGCTGGGAAGGCTTAGTGAAGGCACATACCCATCCTTGCGTGTGCCATGGTGCTCCTGGAGTGGTGGTGTGGGGCTGGGGGAGAGGGGACAGTTATGTGCCACCCTTGCCTGGGCTGGGCAGTATCATCTCCCCGTGGTGGCCTGTATCTAGTGGGTACAGCCAGCTCTAGGTGTCTCTCCATAACCAAAGGCACATGAGTGTTTCCTTGACCAGCTGGCACCATGCATCCTGGGCACACACCACGAGAAGGGAGCACAGACCTTCTGGTCAGTGGTGAACCGCCTGCCACTGTCAGGCAATGCTGTGCTCTGCTGGAAGTTCTGCCATGTCTTCCACAAGCTCCTCCGGGATGGTCATTCCAATGTGAGTGCCCCAAACTCAGCTTGGTGGTTGCACCAAGGCCAAATCCTTTCCTCCTTGGGGCTGCGTGGGGTGGTGGGAGATGGTAGTGGGTTGGTGCCATCTTGGGGGTCAGTGCTGGGTGGGGGCTGGTGCTGGAACCCTCCTAGAGGGTTGGTGCCCTCCTGGGGGTCAGTCCTGCATGGGAACAGGTTCCAGAGTCCTCCCAGTGCTGCCCTGCCCACAAACCCCTGTGCTACAAACCCTGGCGCTGACCACAGTGCCAGTGCTGGAGGAAACTGCTTGGCATGGGACATTGGCATCAGAGCAGGAGCTATCAGCAAGGATCTTCCTGCTCCATGTGCAGATGGGGAAACTGAGGCACCCAGAGCTGGAGGTAGTGACACCACTGTCAGGATAGAGGATTGGGAATACATCAAGACCTCCCAGTTGTCAGCTCCAAGTATGGAATACCATGCCCTGGTGCTCTGTCTGCTAAGTGTCACTGTCATTCCTCCAGGTCCTCAAAGACTCTGTGAGATACAAGAATGAGCTGAGTGACATGAGCAGGATGTGGGTAAGTGACCATACCCATCAGCCACCACGGTGGGGACATCCTAGGGGTCTCTTGGGGCACCCAGTGTCCTGGCCAGGCTGGGGAGGGTATAGGCTTGAGGGATGCTCTGTCCCAGGTCAGGTGCCATCTGACCTGTGGCTGCCATCACCTCTCAGGGTGGGTTTGTGGGTCACATTCAGTGTCTCCTTCCACCAAAATAAAATGCCTCCTTCCCATTTTATGGCAAAATCCAGTTCAACTCATCTCCCACAGTCAAAAGCCACATTGAAACCTGCAGAGCAGGTGAGAAGGTCCTGGCCCTTCAGTAAAGCCAGCCTGGACCCCAGGTGCCATCCAGGAGGGTTTGGCTGTGATTTTGGGGGGATGAGGGAGGGGTTACTCATTCTGCAGGGGACAAAGGCTTCCTTGCTGCCTGCTCTGGATCTCAACAGCTTTTTGTGGTCCTCAGGGCCACCTAAGTGAGGGCTATGGGCAGCTCTGCAGCATCTACCTCAAACTGCTGAGAACCAAGATGGAGTTTCACACCAAGGTGAGCACCCTGTCCCTGTCCCCAGGGCTGCAGCAAGGGGTGGGCACTGGGGTGAAAGTGATGGCAATGCTGTGGGGCAGGGCAGGGGCTGGCAGAGCCTTCCCATTGTTGTCACCGCCCTGGGTCCTCTCTTCTGTTGTGGCCATCCTGCTGCCTCCATGAGACATTCCTCAAGCTGCCAGTGGCCATCAAAATCGGCCCAGGAACCAATGCTTTATGGATGGCAGGACTCATGGTGGCCCAGGGCTCCTTGGGGGCACCTGGGCTGGGCTGAATGTTGGTGGGCTACAAGAAGCAGTAAGACACCCCCAGCTTTGGGATGCATGTCCCCTCCCAGCTATCCTAGATGGACAGAGGTGGAAGAGCTCTACTGGAAAGAGGTGTTTCCTGTGCCCTTCATCCCCATTCAGTTTAGAAGTGTGATGTGACCTTCCCCAAAACACTTGAGCAACAGATAGGCTTTGCCCTCTGGGGCAGATGTTGACTCCATCCCCTCCAGGTCTTAGCAATGCCATGCACAAGCTGCAGTCCCATTTACTCCCTGCTCAACAGGTGTCTCAGCCCAGGGAGAATCAGCTTTTCATGCTGGGAAGAACATAGGCACCATGGATTGGGACTACTGTGGTCACCCAGGGCTTGGAGACCCAATGTTACCCCTTTTCCCCCACACATCACTCCCCTGGCACATCCGAAGAGCCGACTTTGCACTGAGGTCACAGATCACAGCCCTGGTGCTCCCAGAGCTGTGTCTGAAGCAGGAGATCCTCCAGAACCCTTTCCCAACTTTTGTTCCCCTTGCAGAATCCTCGCTTCCCTGGCAATCTGCAGATGTCCGACCGGCAGCTTGACGAGGCAGGGGAGAACGACGTCAACAACTTGTGAGCACTGGGCAGGGGGTGGGGAGGGAGGAGTGAGTGGAGTGCAGGCAGGGTGCCTCAGCACTACTCAACACCACAGTCAGCACAACCAAGGAAGGATGGGACCTTCCACCTTCTCCCCTGTCCCACCACATGTCCTGGGAGCAGGCAGAGTCCTGGACAAGGCTGGTGCATTCATCTGAGATGGCATCTGGCACAGGCTGAGGCCCATGGGTGGCCATGTGGATGCTCCCCAACCTTCCTTATCCCTCTTTCCTAGTTTTCAGCTGACAGTGGAGATGTTTGACTACCTTGAGTGTGAGCTGAACCTCTTCCAGACAGGTAAACCCCTGTGCTACCCTACCAAAGGGTGGGTTGGGAGGTTTGCTCATGATGAGCTTGGAGATACGGGCCAGTGGAGATCTTGCTCCAGCTGAAGGTCCCTTGCTCTGGGTGCCATTTATGGACTTGGCTGACACAGTGTGGCACCTGCTGGTGCTTCCAGCTCCTGATCCCATGCTCCTTCCCTGCAGTGTTCAGCTCCCTGGACATGTCGCGCTCGGTGTCGGTGACTGCGGCAGGGCAGTGTCGCCTGGCCCCGCTCATCCAGGTCATCCTGGACTGCAGCCACCTCTACGACTACACTGTCAAGCTCCTCTTCAAGCTCCACTCCTGTGAGTGTCCCCAGTGCTACCACCTTGGGCAGGGGAGGAATACACAGGGAGACACTAAGGGTCACCACCCTCCTCAGGCTGGACTGTTTGCCCCCCATCACCTTCACAGCCTTTTTTGAGGGGGTGAAGGGAATCACCAGGTGCAAAGCTCACATCCCTCAGGACCTGGAATTGTGGTGGCAACTACCTTTCCCTGCTCTGAAGGGGTATGGAGGGTGATGCCCTCCTGCAGCTGGACACTGAGCCTGGAGCATTCAGACCTCTGGATGAGGGTGACCATCTCTGGGAAAGCCCCATCTCCATGTGGCTGTGCTGATGGGTTTTTCCTTGATCCATGGGGACTCAGTGATGTTTCCACTTCTGGGTACAAATTGAAAGGGGGAAATTTGGATTAGATATCAGGAAGAAATTTTCCCTGTGAGGGTGATGAGACACTGGCACAGGTTGCCCAGGGAGTTTGTGGCTGCCCCAAACCTGGCAGTGTTCAAAGCCAGGTTGTATCAAGCCTTGAGCAACCTGCTCACCTGGTGGGAGGTGTCCCTGCCCAGGGCAGGGGGTTGGCATGGGTCATCTCTAAGGTCCATTCCAACCCCTAAAATTCTATGGTTCTACGACTCACTTGCTGTTTCTTCCAGGTCTGCCAGCAGATACACTGCAGGGCCACCGGGATCGCTTCCTGGAGCAATTCCGAAAGTAAGTGGCCAGACACACATGGTACTCCAGAGGTGCACCCAGGGCACTGGGATTAAAGAAGAGTGAAAAAAGATGTGCTGTGGCCTCTGTTTTGTGATTGTTTAGAGTAGTCAAAACAAAAACTGGCCACTGTGAGCAGAGGGAGGATGTCATGGTGCCAAGGGACAGCTGGATTCAAGGTCACAAACAGCAGATAGCAGGGCTGGCCATGGGTCTGACCACCCTGGCACAAACACTGGGATGGGTATGGATGGCACTGGGATCCCAGGTGGGATGCTGGGGTTCAGGAGCCAGGAGTGTTGCAGCTGGGCACTGCTATACCTCCCCAAAACTGCAAATCCTGGAGGGAGGCACTGTGGTCCTAGGGTAGATGCTCCAGCAGGAACTGGAGGTGGTTGTGCAGATGTGGACTCCAGGCAGGAAGCCCCCTGTCTGCTCATGGGGAACTTTGAAGATAATCCAGTCCAGTCCACTGCCATGGGCAGGGACACCTTCCAGTAGAACAGGTTGCTCAAGTTGCAGGTCCTCCCTGCCCACCAGGTCATGGGTTTATGGGATAAACCCTCCAGCAGGCAGTTTTTTCCAGAGGTGGGAGGCTGGCAGTGAGGTCTTCCCAGGACCTGCCCTGGGTTTGGTGGCAGCACACACCACCAGCCCCTGTGGTGGCCAGGTGACACCTCCTGGAGCCAGGCAAGAGGCTGGAGCTACCCATGTTTGGGATGGTGTGTCCAGGTTAGGCAAGAGCCATCCCTAACCATTCCCTGCCCCTTGCAGGCTCAAGGACCTCTTCTACCGCTCCAGCAACCTGCAGTACTTCAAGCGACTGATCCAGATCCCACAGCTGCCAGAGGTGAGACCCTGTGTATTTGGTCTGCATGGCCAGGAGCACCACTGGGGCTAGTGGCACTGGGAGAGGACCCAAAAAAAGCCATCTCCTGCTTTGCCTGGCTTCCTGGGGTTGGTGGCAATGTGGAGCTTATAGGGCCTGAGGCTCATCCTCATGTCCTTCTCTGGGTGGGACCCAGCGGGATGGAGCTGCTCTCTGACTGGGAGCTGGGATCCCCTCTCTCGCAGTCACACAAGCCTTGCCAAGATCCATCCCTGTGGGTCGTGGCTCCATCCCTGTGGGTCCTGACTCTATCCCTCCACATCCTGGCTCCATCCCTGTGGGTCGTGGCTCCATCCCTGTGGGTCCTGACTCTATCCCTCCACATCCTGGCTCCATCCCTGTGGGTCGTGGCTCCATCCCTGTGGGTCCTGACTCTATCCCTCCACATCCTGGCTCCATCCCTGTGGGTCCTGGCTCCATCCCCATGGGTCAAGGCACAGCCAGCTCAGCTCCAGGGCAGGATTTCAACTACCCATGCTCAAAGCCCTGCAGCAGTGTCAGTCCTTCCCCTCAGCCGTGCTCCTCTCCCTCCCCAGAACCCTCCCAATTTCCTGCGTGCCTCAGCGCTGTCGGAGCACATCAGCCCCGTGGTAGTCATCCCTGCTGAGGCATCCTCACCTGACAGTGAGCCCGTCACAGACCTGGTGGAGATGGACACAGCCTCACAGGTGAGGATGGTGGGAGCCTTCTAGCTTCAAGTGCAGGGTTGTTTCTCCAAATCCGCACCATGGTGGGTGCTGAGACAGCAACGGGCAAGTGTCATTCCAGGGGCATGAGTGAGTGCTGAATGTCCCATCTGGGTGCTGCTAGGGCTGTGCCAGGCTTAAATGGTCTCTGGTGCTGCTCAGTGGTGTGGTGCCCTCCAGTGATGGGCGAGGAGAGGTTTGGCTTCCAGCACTGCCATGGAGACCTTTAGGTCTTCACCCTTCTCTCCACCAAAGGGTTGTCCTGAGTCATTGAGTGTTTCAGGAAGGGAAGAGACATGTGGTGACACAGCTCCCCTGCTGGGAGTTAGGTGGGGATGGACCAGAGGTGCTCTGTGTTCATCAAGCTGAACACATTCAGTGCCCTGGGAGCAGGGGGGTCCAGCCCTCGTGTCCAGGCAGCACATGGGCTGGCTCAGCAGTGGCACCAGGCACATGGAGGGGATGAGGGCTCCTGGGTGGTGGTGGGTCACTCCAGGTCCATCCTGCTCTCCCCACAGAGCCTATTTGACAACAAGTTTGATGACATCTTTGGCAGCTCCTTCAGCTGTGACCCCTTCAACTTCAACAGCCAGAATGGGATGAACAAGGATGACAAGTGAGCAGTCCTGCAGCCAGGATCATACCAGGAGTTCCCTCCCTGGGACAGCACCGCAGCTGTGGTGGCACGGGGGACACCTCCCCTCCCAGGCTGTGATCCCATGGCACTGAGGATACACCCCATGTCTTTCCTTTCCAGGGACCGGTTAATTGAGCAGCTTTATGGGGAGATTGCAGCCCTGAAGGAGGAGCTGGAGAGCTTCAAGGCCGAGGTAAGTGACAACCACGTGGGCAGGATGAGACCCAGAGACTCGCACTGGGAATGCAGGGTGGGGTGGTGGCTGTGTCCCTGACCCCATCTCTGTCCTGCCCTGTCCCTGATGGTTTCTGCATCCCTGTCCATACAGAGGGTGCCCAGGTGTGCCAGGGGATGCTACATCCCTGCCAGGGGATGGGCTCAGCCCCACTGCCCAGCACCCTCAGTGCTTTGCCTGGATGCATTTGGGGCTCTCTGGGGTGGTACCCATGGGGGGCTGATGGATGGTAGTGGTGGACATCAGATGGTACTGTGGGTATTGGGTGGTACTGGTGGGCATCAGGCAGTGCTGGTGGGTATGGGATGGGCCCAGTGGGCACGGAACAG